CACCCCCCAGCAGTATTTGTTCCTTTTTAAAACTGAAAGCAAGTTGAAATTAATCAAACCACTCTTCTTTAATAACTACAGGCACCAGAGTCAAATCTTGCTCAACTTACACATATGAAAAGCCCTCTTGCCTAGCATAATGCTACTTGAGTGAATCAAATGATCTGAATTTCATGCGAATATATAGAAAAAATACCAGAATTTTGTATTAATCTCTTCCAAAATTTGTCTGCGTTATGGTAACCATTTTATTACAAAATTGTTAAATAGTATGTCTACCACAGCAGCACCCAATGGTCTCAAAGAGGAGTCTGGGTATCACTCTTCCAGACACTCCATAAATGTAATGAGAACATCCCAATGAAATTTCAGGCATTCCCCATCTCCCTTGCCATGTAATCTTAGCTAAGACCTAGCTTTTAATCTTTTGGGAACAATGCAGCCAGATCAGCAGTTGATGCAAACGGATCCAGCAGAACTAGAGTGAGTTAGGCTGTACTGATATGCACCAATTGAGGGACCAGTCCCAGCCCTTCATTTTAAAATGAAGTAAAGAAGAGCAAATTGCCACTTCAGACATGCACGGATTTTCTTACAATACTAAGAATATATATTTTGGTCATATCTACAAATTAAATCTTAGGTGACACAAATTCACCATTTGGCATTACTATTTGCCTAAAGTTGGTTGAGAATTTTCTTACTAAACAATTTTTGCTTCATTGAAACTAAAAAGTATTATGGAAACCTCCATGCATTTCAGTGAACTTCCTGACAACTTGTGTGGCAAGCTTGGCTTCCTGGGTCTGTGGCTTATATAGCCCTGCCATATGGATGAAGTAATTCACATGGCAGGGCTATATAACCATGGGGCTTGGAGACCCCAGGTTTTCCAGGGCTCTTGTCATAGGGCAGGAAGCTTTCCCCAGTTGCAAGGTCACTGGTCTTAGTCCACTAGCCTAAGATGGAAGCCTCCGAGCATGGGGTCCCAGGCACAGTTTTCCTTCTGAAATTTTTTGGGTGGAATAAAACCATGGGCAACTGGTGCCTCCTGAGTCTGGGGGGGGGGCACCAGTGGGGCACGACCAGGGGGTCCCCAGCAGTCGGTCGCTGAGCGTGCCGGCACTTCCACTGCCGCCATGCCGCATGTAGAAGTGCCAGCCGTTCTGCTGGCATACTCAGCAACAAATCGCTGCCCCCAGCCCCCTGCTGGTCGCTTCTGCCATCAATGTGCTACTGGCTGAGCCAAATTCAGGGAGGGCACGAGCGCTCTCCGTGCCCCCCTACCAGCCGGAGCGCTTGCTGACAGGGGGTGCACCAGAGCTCTCGTGGCGGGGGGGATGTGCCCCTGCTATGCATCGCCTATGACTAAAACCAGTTTGATTATTTCAAAATAATTTTGGTGAAGGAGGTTTTTCCTTTCCATGGGAAACTTAATTCTATTTCTTCATTCTAAGATGGAATAAAATAACACTTTGGATTTTCCTGCAGAACAAAAACTCTGACTCTTAAACAGCTCTAATCTTGCCACCCTTTTTATGTAGCTCTCCCTACTAATTTCAATTGTGCAGCATGAGAAGGTCCATCATAATCCTTTTCTTGGCCTCGTATTTACTCTAAAGTCTTTTATTACTTAAGCGAGATACAAAATAATTCTAAATTACGATATTATTATTGCCCTAATATGTGCTACCAACTCTGCAAGATTGGTTTACACATTGATAGAATATGGTGCTTTGAAAGAAACTATTTATGGCTCGAGTGTGGGATGACTTCAAATTATGCCTAAAGAAGCCAGACAAGAATGATTTTCCTGTAGTTCAGACTGGCATTAACTTTAAGTCGTCTTTGTATCCTGTGTTCTCTCAGCTTACATAGTTTTTAAGATTGAAGTGAAAAATGTATCAGCTTTCTCCCAACAAGGGCCTTGCACTTCTCTTCTGTATCTTATCATATTGTTTGAGGGGTAAGAATTTTCAAATTGGTATTTGGCCTGTGAGGATTTTTTTCCTCCGTTTTATTCATACATTTTGTGTAGGTGTTTAAATTCAGCTTTTTTTTTAAGTAAAGATGAATTCTGATACAGGATTAGATAATATCATCTTGGTAAACTAAATCAGTACTTTAGTTAATATGTGCTTTTTGTTTCTCTGATAACGAAAATGTTCCAGAAACTTGTTTAAAACAAACAAATTCCTCGTCTTCAGTAACTCCCAGAATATTTAAAATAGGCATGCAATTCCAGGACCTTAACCCGTCTTCATTCTACCCCTAAGAATTTAAGCAAAACAAAATGAAACAAAGCTCGCCCAAGTCCAGCCCCATCCTTTTTACAAACATTGGGTGAGATTCAGACCTGTACAGAGGGTAGTACTACAAGACTTCTGTAGTGTTGCTTGAAGAGAGGGCTTTGTATTGGTCCTCTGCACAGGGATGACTTTCACCCTTTTCTAATTGCTCTCAGTTCTGTTATCCTTGGCATAACATTACAGAAAATGTTACTGATCTAAGCTTAATGTGTGTGATCATAGATTCATAGATTCATAGATTAAGGGTCGGAAGGGACCTAGTAGATCTTCTAGCCCGACCCCCCTGCCAGGGCGGGAGAACAACAAAAAACCCCAAAAGAGAAACGGGAATGGAATGGAATCATGGAATGGTTTACATTTGGAGAGGATCATTGATGTGAATGCTTGGATATGTGTTGGTGTACAAGTAGAACCTAGCCCTGAAACTAGCTGTTGTGGGGTAGGTGGAATAAGAGACTAGATTACTGACAGATGCATGTCATTTAAAGGATCAGCTTTTCCTCATAGGACTGCAGTAAAAGTGAGGACGTTTCATTGTTCTACACAAAAGGAATAGAACAGCTGCAGCTACAAACTGAGGCGCTTTCCTTCATCTGGCGCACAGTCTTTCTCTCTTTCCAGTGTTGGGGAATCTAAGGAGGTGCTAAGGGGGAACCAACCAGTGCTATTGCTTCTTTCCAGCATGCTGGAGGGAATACTTGGTAGTTCCCATTTACTAAGCTTATTTTATTTATTGGCTACTTCACTGGTATTAATCTGGTTTCCAAGAGACATTTACAAGGTTTAAATAGAGATTTCTCTTATAGCAAGGCCAGCAAAATGAAACCAGATTGTTACATGGAAAAATGATTTACAAGGATGGAAATGAGTCTGGCCCAAGGAAGACAGAAATAGCACAGCAGAAGCTTATTTCAGTCACTGACTGAAATAGGAGCTTGTTTTGTGCTCTGTCTGTTGCTGACTTTTTTGTTAGTAGGTTTTTTTGCGAGATCAGAAGTGAAATGTTGTTGGGTTTAAGCGTCTGTTTCCATTTTGTTGGGGTACATATTCCACAGGAATTTCCCTCAAGTTTCAGAGCTAAAAAACGACACCACAGAAGGCTTAGAGTTCTGCAGGAAAGTTTGCCTAAGCTTTTCCTGATTCCCGCTATCCCCTGCAAGCCTTTCCTGATTCCCATTACAGCCTGTATGTGCTGCGGTAGTGGCCATTGTTTGTTTCCTTTGCTCTAAATCTGCATGCTGCTCCAAGCTGATGGCCATCCTCCATAGGTTTTCATGCGCTGCCTCTCCCCTCATCCCTGGACCATTCCACTGGTTTTTCATGTATGGTCACATGTTCAAGATCTGATACCTCCACAGCAAAATACCTTCCTGCTTTCATTGAAGCTTTCTATAGAATTATAGGGTCAGAAGAGACCTCAGGTGTCATCTAGTCTAGAGGTGTCAAAGATATGGCCTACAGGCTGGGATATGGAGCCCTATCAACCAGCCTGCCCATTTGTCTCTGGGTGGATCCACATGCTGTGTGCTGGATTGGCCCTGGGTGCTGCATGTGGTGCCCATTCTGGCTAGTTTGCAGGAGCAATCCAGCCCACTGACTCGGTCATTTATTCAGCCTGCAGGGTCAAATGTGTTTTGATGCTCCATATCTGGTTCAATCCCCTTACTATACAGACTGAAGTAGCTTTCTGTGCACACTACTCCTCTGTGTGTTCATGGAGGGGATACTGGAGAGGCAGGCATTGCTATGCATGTATAAAACTGAGGACTCTGAATGGGGTATCACAGTGCTATTATGTGTGATGAGTGGCAGAATACAGAACACTTCTATAATTCCTCTGTATTGTATATAGGTGGGTAGAAGCTGTGACTACTCCAACTGAATTCAGGGACTGCAAATTGGATGTTTTTAATAATTGAGCCTAGCAACCAGTAAGAGAAGAGGTGTTTAGTAATTATTCCTAGAAAGAAGTGGGGCAAATGTTTCACTACTACAACTTATCTCTGTATTAAACAAAATACAAGTTAATTTAAAGAAGATACGAGTACCATGCTGTCTGGCTTGGGTTGGCCTAACTGATATCTCAGACAACATTCCTCAAAATCAGAAACTTGTATTGTATCACAGAAAATTAAACTCCCGTGGTGAAGCAATGCATCATGTTTGCAGATTCACAACAAGAACCACCTGCCTTTACACACTCACATGATGCTGGTCAAAGGTCAACAACACATTACACCCACTAAAAAAACTATTTACGAAGAGCAAGTCCTTAATGCATCTTTCTAACTACACAAATTGATACAGTGCTATGGTTCCTCTGCTCTCTAAGAGGCCAGAAAACTTCTGTATGACACTGAATATTAACAGAGATGACATGTGAAGTAACTATAGGCCTAAGCTTAAGATTTTCATGATTTAACAAAAATTATTTGCTCTGAAACTTGTACAGATGATCCATACAAAGCCTTTTATTGCTTAAGCCCAATGTGAATCCTTGACAGCTAAGTGGACCTGAAGTCGTGGAAAGAGCCTTTCATGATCCCTTTGCTTGGACCCATGGCTGCGATTCAGAAGGGGAACTGCAAAAACTTTTCTGGAGCTGTCTGCCCCAGCTCAAATTGTGACATCAGAAAGGTTAAAGATCTATTCCAAACAAGCAGTAGTAAAATGAAATGAAGTGGTCATTGATTATGAAATTGTGTTTATGTAATGGATATACTTGAGTGGATCCAGGATTTTGTAAAGGGAGATGGAGGATCACTGACTGGTGCTGTAGGGGTGGCTGTACCCCCTGTTCCCAGCTTCTCCTCACCCCACACTGGGGCAGACAGATTTTGCTGTGGGAACAGCAGTCAGGGTCTTTTTTTGAAGTCCTTCAATCAGGTAAGAATCTTCCCTTCCCTCCCCTCTTCCTTCCCCTCTGTGCTCAGCGGCACATCCCCTCACTGTCCCCCCACCTTCATCTCCCTCCCCTGCCTGCTGCTGTCCCCAGCTGACCTGGGGACTAGGGGTAGGGGTGAAGCTCCAGAGCTGCTCCTGCCCTGTTCCAGCCAGGCTGCATATGGAACCATGCTTGGCCAGAGACAGCAGCGGACAGGTTCCCTTCCCCTGTGCCTAGTCCTGGGCTGGCAGGAAAGAGGAACCTGCCCGCTGCTGCCGCTGTCTCCGGCTGAGCCCAGCTCCCCATGGAGCATGGCTGGAGTGGGCATGAGTGGCTCTATAGCCTCCCCAGCCCTTGCCCCTGGGGCAGCTGGAGACAGTGGCAGCTGTGGGCAAGGAAAGTGGTGGAGTGGGAAGGGGATGAGGGGAGATGCTGCTGAGCATGAAGTGGAAGGGGGGTGGGAATTCTTACCCGATTTGGGGACTTTAAAAAAGTCCCTGGCTGCTGGTCCCGCTGTGTCACCGACTGAAAGGGGGGTGGATCCATGCCACTGCACCTCCTCTGGATCTGCCCCTGTGGATATATAAATATTTTTAAGAAACTGAGATGGCATATTATAAAAGTTTGCAGTATACAAACATACTTGTATGAGTGCAAAATATCCAGTTTGATCAACCACATTCACTCTGTACATTGATATGTGAATTACTAATAACTCACAGGAGAAAGGCAGACTTACTAAATACAGAATCAAGGCACCAGTGTTAATGCAGAATTTCCAGCTTTTCCTGAAGATAGTCTCTGACTATCTCTATTCAGGAAACACTACTGATCTAGTAAATTCCTCAGTTTAAGTGCATATTCTTTTACAGTATCCTTATCTGGTAAATGAAAACAAAATGGATATTCAGTATGCATACAGATTTCCTTCCCCCTCAAGTAGATGTTATGAAAATCCTCCCAACTTTTAAATGTACTGCAGAATTGAGTTTCTTAGTTGATTTAAGTATGTGGAATAAGAACTGTCTGTCATCGCTGTCCAGTTTTTTTGCTTTTAAAAATACATTAGATATTGATGTCCTTAAAATGGTACTCTCCAGGAACTGATTCCTGTCTTTAAAAAAACCACAAAGCCAAACCCTAAAAGCAAGCCAAATCTGATTTGGGAAGGGAACACATGCTTCTCTGCCTCAACCCCATGCAGATATCCATATCGACATATACCATATTATATGTTGTATTATCTCTCTGGGGTAGTTGTAGCCAGAAAAGTTCTTGGTAGAGCAGGCATCCTTAAAAGAATATTGTATCTGTTCATTTTCAAACTGCTTCTTTCACAAAAAATGCTTATTGCTTTTTCAGTGGCACCCCATGCCCTCTCCCAGCTGAGACAAACTCCCGTAAGTGGCAGACAGTGACAATATTCCTTTCACTTGCCACAGTCTTCCACTGTATGTTTTGGTCCCCTTGGGATCTGAGCAGAGATGGCTAAAATGGAAAACCCATAGGGAAAAGTCAGGAGTTGCCTTAAGACTTTCCAATAAGATACATTCAAAGCCCTCTTTTGACGATATCACCTGTTGTGTCTAATGACCCTTGATGGATGAATGAATGAATATAGTATGTACAGAGATCTGGAAAACAATGCTGTACAAGAAGGACTGGTATGTTTTAAGACTACAGATTTTTTATGAAAACAAAGATTGGGAATGGGCAGGCAGAATCAAATGAATATTTTAGTTTCTCAAGAAAAAAAGAGAGAAATCATAGGAATAAGGTCAGTTGCCAACACAAGACAAGTGTTTTGTGGATTTTTTTTTAATGATAACCTGCAAAGCTTTTACTGACTACCAAAAGCGTTTAAATGACAGCCAAACTTTTTTTACTGATATATGTTTTACATAATGAAAATGTAACTAGTGGTGCACTAAGATTTCAGTGCCATATGGGATCAGCACCAGTAAAAGGAAAATTAACATTCTCGGCTTTTTTTTTTTTGGCTGGTGTAGTTGATAATGTCACTGATGCATACAGTATGCCTTCTGGCCAGGGCTCCCAGATGCCATGTGCATGTGCACAGATGCAGCATGCACATGACCAGGAATGCAGTCGGGCAGCATGGAGGGTAGCACCCTGTAGGTAAGTCTGTGGAGGGGAAGGGGCAATGGGGGGGTGGGCAGGTACATTGAGGTTCCCACGTTGAGGGAGTGGAGCTAGGGCCAGGGGTGCTGCCTAGCTAGGGTGGTGAATGGGACCATGGGGCTGGGGCAGGGAGTGGGACAGCCACAGGCAGCTCATCTAGGAGGGACTGAGGATGGGAGGTGGCTCCCCGCCACTGTACCATCCCTGGGGGAGGCATGGAGGGAGCATGTCCCCCAGATTTGTGCATGGGGGGGGGAGGTGGCTGCCCACTGGGCTCAGGGCGCTCTGCCCTGCTGCCTTTGCCCCAGGAGCTGAATGCTGGTTGCATGGCCCCTGCCCAGCTGGCAGTGGTGAGTTGTGCCTCCCGCTGTCAGGCAGGCAAGGGATGTGCAGCCAGCATGCTGCTCTCAGGGCAAAGGCAGCAGGGTGGATAGCCCCAAGCCCACAGCAGGCAGCCTGCCTCCACCCTTGCCCTAAAAGTGTCCCTGCGCTTAAAAATGATGGCGGTAGCACTTGAACTAAAGCTCATTTGAGCTGCCATTTTTAACTCCTGCTGCCATTTTTAAGCACTGGAACGCTGATCCATTGGATGAGCCACCTACAGCTCTATCCCACTCCCTGTCCTGGCCCTGGGGTGCCATTTGCTGCCTCAGCTGGGCAGCGCCCCTAGCCCCACTCCCTCCCTCACTGTCGGGGGGCCTAGATCTGCCCCCCCCCATACCTTCCCTTCCCCTCCACAGACTTACCTGCAGGGAACTGCTGTCTACACTGCCTGGCTGTGCTCCTGTAAATTGGTTATCAGATTGGTCTTGGCTGACATGCCTGATGAATAATCAGTTATCAGTGTTGGTAAAGAAAATCTTTATTGGTGCACCCCTAAATATAACCCTTCTGTTAGATCCTGGACAATGGCCAAGTTCAAACCATAGTAAAAAAGTTTGGAAATTATCAATAAAAACATTTTCTTGGATTAGTAGTCCAATTTGACTGCAGCAATGGTTTTACACCATGCTGCCTCCATCCCAGGGGTCCCTACTCACCTCCACACTTTGGTACTCCCAGCAGCACCACACACCATGCTGTTACCTAATTCAATCCCCCAGCTTTACTTCCACCAGCATCCCCTCCCCCAACCCAGAATGGACCTTCAAAGGACTGCTGGCTATGTGCCACACAGTAGTGTTATAGGAAGATGGGAGGCAGGACCAGCAGCACCAGCATGGGGAAGGAACCACAAAGCCCTGAGAAGAGCTTTGGGGTACTGTGCTCCTGCTCGGACACCAGGTGTGCTCTGTCTGCCTCAACAGTGCATCCACCTTGTTTTTCAACCATGAAGCTTCAGTCAGCTTTTTGCTTTCATTGAGCTGATTTTTGCTTCATAATTTATGGACAGCATAATTCTCTTACTCTAATTTTGGCCAAGAAGAACCCTGGTGCCATCTCAACTGATGTCCAACATGGAAGCAAATTAGATAAGATACAAGGTAGAGCACTTAAAGGGAGATTCGGATTTAGTTCCTGCTTCTGCCAAAGGTATTGAGTGTAATGTTAGATTAATTGTTTAATGTCTTGGTGCCTCATTTTGCCATCTGTTGAAAAAAGAATAAAATAGCAATATCTTGTTTGGCTGGATAGTAAGCTTTTTGGGATAAAGACTCTTGCTATATTTGTCCAGCATCTAGTGTAATAGGACTTTGCTCTCAGGTGGAGCTTCCAGCTGCTCCTGTAAGGAGAACAGCAGATATTTTTCACTTTGCAGGATTCAGCCCATGTAGTATAGAAAGCTTTTGGAATATTATACCAAAACGAGGGAGAAGGGGGACTGAATCTGAGGCCTTGGTCAATGAGCGCACACAGCTTAACTTGAGTGTATTCTAAATGTGTGATGGTTTTGACTGTCAATTTTACTTGAAATAAATAGTCACCTACATTTAATAGTAGCTACCTGTTAATATTGATAAGTTCATTTATGTACTCCCCTCCC